TGATGTGTATCTGTACACCAATAATTTTTTGAAATTTCTTTGGATATTTTTTTAAATTATTGTCTAATGGAATCTGTTTTTTGTTGATATTGTCAATTCAAATATTGAGTGAATTTTCCTTTTTCTCAATTATTGGTGCTCATGAATGAGCTATCAAATTTGTGGAAATGGAAGATCTTAGTCTGATAATTCTTCAGCATGATGCAGAAATATTGTCAGACAAGAATATAAATTATATCAATGATTTTAGACCTTAGAAACAAATGTCGTGTAGATAGTGTTAGTATAATGTATATAATTCTTAATTATTTCTACATTATATAATACTATACAAACAGTAAAAAATAAATAAATAAAATCATAATGTCTATTAGGAAGATGATCCTAAACTTCAAACATGTCAAATGTAGTTTAAAAAGTTCTGTTCAGAAAATTTTGAACTAAAGGATACAAAAAGTATGGAGTGCCCAAAAGCTGTCAACAAAGAAAAATTGCAGAAAGAAATTGCTAAAAATCGACTAATAACACAATACAGTATATATAACCAAACACATCAAAAATAAAGCAAAAAAAAGCACTGAAAACATATAAGTATGATGCAAGAGTGACAGATGACTTGGACATATGACAGATTGTGTTTACACTTTGAGCACATTTTTCACTGCACACATTATTCGAACTTTGAAGCATCATATGAACTCCAAGGCAAATTTTTGTTGAATTTTGCATTCAAACTCTGAAGTGTTAGAATATAAGGTATCACTGTATTAATAATTTTCATCTAAAATAATAGTTAAAATATTACTATTATTTTTTGATTTAATAAGCATAAAATAAGATGCATGTACATACAGTCGACCCCCCTATAACGTACGTTCCAATAACGACAATTCCTATAACGTAGCGAAAAAATTGTAGAAACTGTCGTATAACATACCTCCCATAACGTCGCTTCGCGACAAGATTGATAGAGTCTGGACCAATAGTGGATGAGCAGCCGAACTACTTTCCTCCGACCCTGCGCCACGCTACGGAGCGGCTAAATTGAGTTTGCTATCGTCTGTTTAGTATTATATATAAATTATATATAAATTAGGTACTGTACATATAATTATATATTAATTATATATAAATTAGGTACTGTATATATAATTATATATTAACTTAATTTATTGTAACTTTATTATAATTATATATATGCTTTCTGCCGCCTGGCAACACGCTACGGAGATTTTAGGCTAGTAAGTTGAGTTTATTATCGTCTGTACAGTATGTAAATTAGGTACCGTAAGTCTAATACAGCACTAATTTTATACATTTCTTGTGAAAGAAACACTTCTTATTCAACGGCCATAAAAATTATTTATATTAATGATGTCTCCAAAGGTCAAGTTATTTTTCTGCGAAAAATTATTTATCAGAAATCGCGGCCGCCGTTTCGTGTGCTGTTCCGCGACGAAGACAAGCTTTGAACAACGGGCGTAGTCGAACGGTACACACTCGGTAAGTAATCCTATAATTTTTTGTTTATAGCATAGTTTATACGGATTACTCCCAAAAAATTATACGTGTTTTGGAAATGTTGAGTCGAATTAGTCTAGAATCGGTTAATTTTATAGAAGAAAACCTTTCGAACAGCCTTAGTCTGTAAAGTTCCCACCTATCGGGCTGCGATTGGCTCATGTATTTAATCGTTCCTACAACGTAATTTTCGGTTAGCGTGGAACGTATCTAAGCGTTATAGGGGGGTCGACTGTACACATGGTCCATCATGTCAAAACTTAAAATACAAAAGCATTGCATTAAACACTTTTCAAATGCTAACATAAAATATTAACTTAAGAGAGTCTGAAAAGAAACTTTTTTTAAATTTAATTTAAGAATATTTTGTAATTTTAATACTTAAAACAGTTTAAATGTTTTAACATTAAGCATTTTTTCATGAACATAATACAAATAATAATATAATTAGAATTTACATTAAAATTTGAAGTTGAAAATTATAAATTTAAAGATTTAAAAATGCAAGTTGAATTTGTATATTTAAAACTTTTAAAACTTATATTGAAATTCACAAATTTACAACTGTTTAACTGATATGAAGTTCCTGCTTCTTCCATATATCTTTTATTATTATTTTAATTTGTTATTAAAACTTATTAACTTTTATTAATAATTATTTATTATTGTTTATGTTTTGTTTTGAGATAATTATTACTAATTTTTCCTTTTAAAGTCTGACAAAAACTACTGAAATTTCATTCTACTTCAAAATTTCTACTAAATGCATATTCTACTAATGCCATATTGGTTGAAACTTTGTTAATATCATCTCTATATTCTTTCTGTCTTCAATTCAAACTTCTATAAATACTACTTGCAATATTTCTGCCTATCACTATTCAAGTGATTGAAATGAATATCTTTTGACTGATTAAAAGTACAGGAAATACCTTTTCTTTCTATTTTTTATTAACTCATATATTGTTTGCTAAATTTTTGGCATAAATTCTTGGCATCAGTTAAATAGTTTTAAATATCTAAATTCAGATATAACTTATGTATGTAAACATTTTTTAAATCTTTAAATTTGTAATCTTATAATTCAAATTTAAATTTTAAATGCATTACAACTTATTTTATTTCCTTAAAAAGAATGTTTTAACATTATCTTAAAATTTTTAAAATGTAACTTTTAAATTCATTAGAATTATAAAATGTTCTTAACTTAAAAAAGAATCTTTTAAATTTAAGCTTTTTTATATTACCAATTTACCATGAGAAAACATTTTGAAAAATATCTAATGTCTTTAATAAAAAGTTTGACATGATGACAATTTAACATAAAGTTGTATTGTTAGATTAAAAAGAGCATTTGAGTTTTGAATTAATAAAATTTATAAATAACTAATTAATAAAAAGCGATGAAACACCATTTTAAAGTGCATTTTTATTCAATTAATATAATTATAAATAATATCTAACCCAAAAAGTAGCCAAAGCGCCAAATGATATTTTTTATGTCAAACAAAAAAAAGTAGCCCCATTTGGCACAACGTAGCCAAATCTTGCAACGTTGGAAAAAATACTAAATAAAGCTGTAGTTGTGAATCAAAGGATTATAGACCCAAGTGCGAGGAAAGGAGAGAAAAGACAAAAGATAAAAAAAGTGAGAAAGGTTGGAAAATTAAGGGTCCATATTTGCTTAACAGAAGATCTATTTAACCTTTCTCACTACTACATCTTTTGTCCTTTCTCATCTTTTCCTCCTTTTTCCAAATTTGGGTCTATAATCCTTTGAGTCACAACTCCAGCTTTATTTAATAATCCTTCCTCAATCACACATCTCCAAGTGTTTGAAAATATTTCCTTTCCACTCAAAAATAAAATATGAATAAAGGTTTACGGCTTTGTGAAACTTCTTTTTTGAGTTTATACCATTGAAATAGATAAATAATAAAAAAATTAAAACATTTTGTCGGTTTTGTTTACACATTTATTGGGCCGCATTGAAACCTGCCTTGGGCAGCGGGTTGGACACCCCTGTCTTACACCATTACTTATGTTTATGTATAAATAAATAAATTTTATAATTTGAGTAACTCTATGAATCTTAGTTATGTTGTTATTTCAATACCCAAAATTTTATATGATGTTTTGAAATGCAGTGAGTCTTTGTTACAATGAATCTTTTTGGCAAAAGAAATACCGTGTTTCCCCGAAAATAAGACAGTGTCTTATATTAATTTTTGCTCTGAAAAATGCGCTAGGTCTTATTTTCAGGAAATGTCTTATTTTTTCCAGGAAGAAGAATTCACATTTATTATTGAACAAAAAAATTCCCAAGTCGAACTTAGACGAGAGTGACGTATATCCGGTGTGTCGGACTGTCGCCTTTTATAGCATCAACATCGGACTCGATGACCAATTAGTGCTTACTGAACCGTAGCACTATGCAAATATCATGTAGCGTGATTCCCGGCCGACCAATTACCCATCACCAGCCGTAACGTTATGCAAATCTGTGATTCCCAAAGCCATAGTCTTATGCAAATCATGCCGTGTGGCGTAATTGTCTGCTGACCAATCAGTGGCTGTACTTTCAAAAAGCCAACGGCCACTTTCAACCATCTGTCGATGACCGTTACGACTAAAAAAAAACTTTGCTAGGTCTTACTTTCAGGGGGTGGTCTTATATTTCGCAATTCAGCAAAATCTGTGCTAGGTCTTATTTTCTGCGGATGTCTTATTTTCAGGGAAGCACGGTAGTTTGATATAACAGGATGTTTGTCGTAATAAAATTTTACTTGTTTAAGTTGACAATGAAGTTTTATTCAAAAAACTGGCTGTACATGATTGGGTTTGAGTTTTGTGCAACATTTCAATAATTTCTTTATGTACTTTGTACAAATTTTCATATTTTTCAGTCATAAAAGTTTAATAGAAAATAATAAATAATGAAAGCATAAAGCTTTAGATTTGTATTTTTCACCTTTTATGTAGTATGCAAGGGATGTTCCTTTTTGTTTCGAAGCCAATCTGTTTGCATTTTTCTCATCTCTGTTGCATAATGTAAAGCCATCAAAAGCACATGTGCTTTGTTTGCATCCACACATGATGAGTGAAATTGCAACTCTCAGCAATGTAATACAGTCAACTTTTTGAGAAAAAGTAGCCAAAGTTCTGAGTTAATAATAAAAATATAAATAATAATAATAAACATATCATCATCATGGAAAAGTCTTAATGATAAATTGGGAAAGTGTTCACTATAACCAGCATTTGTTGAAATTAGTATTTTTTAACATTAGCATCACTGGAAATTGTCATAAACACTAGGCTTGATTTGTACAAACCAGGTCTTCACAATAACTACAGTTCACTGTATGAATGTTTTTTCATTTTATAACTTCAAATGTGATAATTTAAAACTTTAAATAATAATTTTTAAAGTTGTAAAATGTAAAATAGGAAATATGAGTGTTTTAAAATTTACTTACCTACTTCTACATATTGACTCAAAGGCAAAACAAGAGCAATTATTAATCTTCCTGTTGTAGGTTTTAATTTTGATTTAATCTGATTTAGCAATGTAATAGGTTTATCACAGCGATCTAAGAGATTCAAACAGCTAACCACATCATATTTTTTTGACTCTTCTGCCCATTTGTTAACATCTAAAATACTGGAAAATATTTGAAATTAAAATCTTCATATTATATAAAGTTTTAAATGAATTACAATTTTTAGTTCATTAAAAATAGATTAAAAAATAATAAAAACAGAAGGTTAAGTAAAATTTTAAAAAATGACAAAGAAAAAAAAATGTTAACTTTATAAAATATTCATTAATGTGATTGAAAAAATAACAGTATTAATAATTTTTAAAATAAGATGTACAGTACACTCTCAATAATCTGTTCATTTGCTAGTTTGACATGACCTTTAATTTGACACTAGTTAGCTCTCAGACATTGCAGGCACTGTTGCCAAGTCATAGACAAGTTTTGAATTAGTTAAAACTCCAGTTCCTACTAAATTTGAGTACCTTTCTACTAAATTTCCTACAAATACTTTAACTTTCCACTAAATTTAATGAGAATCCATCAGCTTGGCAACATGATTACCAGTGATGGCAGTGTATTCAGATGTTTGTTCAGTAGCCCAACATGTATTTTGCTGCAATATTAACAGTTGATTCCATGCAGTTTACATGCTCAACTGTTTCCATTACATCAATAGTACTTATATTTAATTACACTTTTATTGTGTTTAAGTTGCTAATTCATAAAAATGTGTGAAACTTCTAATAATCTGGCAATCTTATTAGTCCAGCACCATTCTAGTCCCATATAAGTCAGATTACCAAAATTGTACTGTATTAACATTTGAGATAAACTTTATAATAATTTGAATAAAATAAATTTTTGTTAAAAATATATGATTTTATTTGAAATACTATTCTAAATGATAATATATATTTTTATAGTATATTTACATTTATAAATTTATATGTAAAAGTATTAGCTAAATGTAAAATACTGTATGTAAAATGCATTAGTTATTTACTATATTTATTTTCATTACTCTTCATATTTACATATTTTGATTAATTATAAATATATGTTTTTCATAAAAGTATATTTTCAAATATCAATTCAGAAAAATAATATATTACTTAATAAGTGATGTACAGGAATAATTTATTGCAGTTAACACATTCCAGAAAATTACAGCATTAATTGGAAAATATATTTAATAAGAAAAATGATGATTCATTTGGAAAGAGATTTTTTCACTTAAAAAATAATTAGAACCGGCTTTATAATGGGCCATAAAATCTATAAAAACTACAAGAGGATAAAATGAAAAGGTGCTATTAAACCTAAAGTTTTATTACTTTGTTTTGCAACTAAACTTTTAAATGATTTTATTAAAAAAGATAAAATTATTCACATTCTCAAATATCATTTTCTAATGCTCTTAATGCATTCATGTTTTCTTCATTTGGATCATTATTCAAAATTGTCAGTAGTGATCTCCATTGCCCTAAACATTTTTTCAAGTTCTTGTACACATTCCTTTAGTTTTTTTTACTGTAAAGTTTTTAATTATTTATGTGTAAGTAAGAGTTTCTTTGAACTTTCCTAAAAAGATATAAATTTATTTTAATTACTTTATAATAAATTATTCTGCATTAATTGAATCCTTTGGCACATATTATAAATCATATAACAGTGAACCCAACACTAAATAAAGTTGTATTAAGTGAACTATTCCTGTAGTTCATCACAAATTTAGTATGTATAGGATAGTGCAATTCAATTCAATTAGTATGTCCACATTAATTACTAAAAATACAATATAAAATAAATAAAAATTATAATTAACAAACTAAAGTTTTTTTATTAATATATAAAGTTATTTGCCTTTTACTCAAAAATATTTTAAAATAAATTTATTAAAATTTCTATATCAGGCAAATTTAGAAGAGCTTATGTTTTTGAAGCAATTTGAAACAAAATTTAAGCATTCTTGGCAAATGTACGAAATCATTGTTAACAGTTATGATGCAAATTATTATTATTTTTTTAATGATACAAAAATTATATATTACTAGATGTAAATAAACATGTAATAAATAAATATATTTAAGAAAATAGAAGACAAAAGATGATAAATTTTATAATTTTTGTTCTATTTACGAGTTTCATAAAAATTGGCTCACCGATAACCTTTCTTTGTCAGGATCCTCTGCATCACAGAGGAGATTTCTGTAACATGAACAGTATCGAAAAGGGAGGCCATCACTTGAGTTACACTTCCATCTCCAGCACCTAAGTCCAATAAAGCTTCTGAATGCCAGTCAGATGCCACACCAAGTAACTGTAGAAATTGTGACTGAGAAAAAACAAAAGTTGAACCTCTCCCTAAAAACCTTTAAAAAGAAGTCATACTTATTAATGTTGTTATTATTAAAATGAATAATCTATAAAAAAAATAATTAGAATGAAATAATTAGGCTAAATATTAATATATTCCAGATTAAAAAAAACATATTCAATTCCCATAAAATCCAGAAAAATCAAGAATGACTTTCCTGCATTACATTTACGATTTGAAGGTATGCAGTCATTCTACTGTATGTATTTTACAAGGGAGAAGATAGTAATACGCGGAGATAAATCCCAACTGAAGTAGAGCACTAAAAACGATGATGTGTGGCATACCCCCGATTAACCCTTTTCAACTTCCCATTATCGTTCCCCCGTTCACACGATAAAATTTAGAAACTCCCTTTGGAATGGGCGTATTTTCGTTATCTCTTAAACATCAAGGCAAGTGAAAATTGCCTAACAATTTGAAATAAAAAAAATCAGATATTATTTTACATACAAAACATACGTATAACAGAAATTCTATATTCGTTTTTTTTTTCTTTTTTTAATATAAATGTTTGGATATTGTTTTTAAAATTTTGCGTTACAATGATCACAAGAAAATGTCATTGTAAATGAAATATGTCTGTCTGCATAAGTTAGGGTAGATGATGGTCACGAATAGTCCGTGGCCAACCCCTGTCGTTGCCATGGTAACTGTCCAGAATTCATTTCCGTCTGCAACCGTCAGAAAAAAATAAATAAAAAAAGACGGTTCTTCCATATTCTTTCTCCACTTTTGTCGAAAAGCAGGATGTCATGGGTGCGGGAAAATCATTTTAATAGACTGAGAAAAAGTGAATGCGAAAAAAAAATACTCATTTTTGCTTTTTAGATTATTTCCTGTAGTCTCACTTGTCCTTATTATTACTATTATTATTTTAAGTTAACGTTTTTATGAAATTGACAAAATAAATCAAACGTAAAAGAACATCCAAATTCTACACGCGCCTTCCTTTATAATCGTTTCCAAAAATTATATGCTGTATACTATTTATTTATTTATGAAGGCAAAGAAAAGAACTGTCTAACGGTGAAATGAAAGAACGTGTTTTTAATTCGAACAATTTACGTATACTTGCGTAGGCTACCCGAGTAATTAACATACTACAGCAACAGGCTGTGAATAGAGACGAAATAACATTCAGTTGATTCCATCTCGGTATTTTATAAAAGAAATTTGATATATAACCTATCTAAAGATTTTGTCTGTCCAATGAAAAGGTGATGTTTAAATTAATTTAACGATCGACGACAAAACTGAAAGAGCAAAAGAAAACTGTATTTTCTCTTTTATCTTCCCATTCTATACAGATACAGATGAACAGATATAGATATGGTAAAGGGAAGTATGAACGATATCAATACAATACCAAGCAACACGAAAAGAGAGGGGAGTAGACGGTGTGAGAAGATACGACGAATTTTAGAATTGGTTTCGCCGGCAGGAGCTCTCAAGTAACACTACAAAATGTTTCGGGCAAGAAAACTCAATTTTTTCCTCTTCTCTGTCTCTCTACCTGTCACTGACAGATGCTATACTAACACCTTATCTACATCCGGGTAAATGCAAGACGTCGTTCTCAATGCTACTAGGGGACCTGGAAGGGGGACCCGTCCATCTCCCGAAGATGTACGGGACATGAAAATTAAGCGGCAAGAGGAGATTTGAAACACATCCTTCCTTTCATCTTGTGTGGGGAATGCAAATGGCTGACCATAAAGCAAAGGTCTTCCCCATCTGCCGTTTCTATGTAGGGGGTAATTATTCCTCACACGGATCCCCCTGTTCCATTATGTGAACGACATTAGGAGGAAACCATTAGTAAGATGGTGAAGAAGTTATGATTTTGGTCGGGGAACGGGCAGAAATGTCATTAGGGATGGACTCGGATGGGATGGTATGACTTAATAAAGAATGATACCCTTCTATCTCAAACTGGATGTCGTTTGATTAGTCTAACTATCCGAAACGATCGACTATTTTTGTCGTCGATCGATACCCGTGAATATGATGTCAAAATGAATCTTTATCCTCTTCAAAGGCGAAAATCGAAAATTCATCGCTTTTTTGGGCAATTTGAATTAAAGCGAATAATCTTTTACAACCGAAAGTGTGAAAAATTCACATTTAAAAAATGTTAATTTTAACACCAAGTCACGAAAAAATCGATGGGACTTCTATTTATCTGCGGGTAGGATTTGCCGAAATCGCGGCTATATAATAAAAATACGGTCTACAAGTGAGCCGTAGTGTTACAACTGGAACGCGAGAGAGTCCACGGTCAAGGACATGGTTGTATTCCCGTACGTCACTTCCGCAAAAAACATTTGATGGTTATATTATTTCTATTGCTTATTGCGCGATCGGATGATATTTTACCCATTCCAAAATTCATTTATCGTCTAAGAACAGGAGACAATTTACGAGGTGGACGTCTACGTGAGCGGATAAGTGCAAGACAAGTTTTACTCGGGCCCGTTTTTAAGTGATAGGTGACCGCTGTATATCCCCGCCTCTTGCCATTGTTGTCCCGTGCACAGTTTATAAACTGCTAACGGACGACCGTTGTTGAATATCTACCGCCCTATGTATTATACATAACATCCCAGAACACTATAGCAGATAATTAATCCGAAGACAGAAAAATGGCTTCGGGGAGCAATAACTTTAAGTTTTATTCTGTTCCAGACGATGAGATAGGTTTTCTTGGATCGAAATATGTTGGCGAGTGACGTCAACTCGTAATTTCAGAACCCAGTTGAACACGTGATAGCTAGATCTCGTTATGATTAGTGTCTCGTTACATCCACTACACCTACATACCTTTTTTTTAATGGTTAAAATCGAGATGAAGCAAGATGCATTACGTATAACGAGATGGTTATTTCTTTCGATTCCATTGTCTTATTACTAGTTACATCCTTCATCGTAAGATGGCGTTACTTGCATGGCACGGAGCCGGATAGGGATAATAATTTAATATATAAAATCGGACATTTCTGGACTATAAAGAATAATCTATATCCACGGCTGTTGTATCGAATGAGTTTCCTTTGCCAGGAAACTTAAGTTGTTCGCATCGGTAAAGTTACGAATATTTATCATATGCCAAAGATGACAAAAGAGACGATCGTTTCTTCGGAGTTGCAACTGAATACGTTCCGGCTTTCTTTTGTATGGAAAAATTTTTGAGAAGCATTGAGGGAAAGTGTCGTTTGCAGGGTTTTGTCGATGAGGTCAACGACGTCTTATCGTAACCAAAATGGACGATAACTACTTTACTCGGTCTTAAATACATATTGCATTTTCTTAGTTGTTGTCAGGATTGATATAAGTGGAACCACTTCGTGTCGTGTAGTTGAAGAAATAACGGGTGCACGTCAGACGGTACTTCACAGAAACACATTAAACTTTTCTCAGAACATTAACGTCTGTCACGAAATCCGTAACACTCACTCCCTTCTGTACCCGTCGTTAATTACAGCTGGTCGTGTATCTGCCAACTTCTCTTACAGGGCACGTCATATATTGCCAACTGTTTTGTTCAATATTTCTTGTCCGGTTTTTTTCAAGATATCGTAAATAAACTATAGACCAACTAGCAAAAATTAACCAAGTTTACCTAGCAAACATTGCCATAATGCTAGAGCAGATTTCGCAATATACTACTGTCTTATATCCACCAGAATCTAATACGAAGTACTTCTACCCACACCAGTTTTTTTCAACCAAAAGTATTGTGTGATTAATAAAATAACTGAAATATTTAGATCCCGAATAATTATTAACAATAATTAATTTAAGCATGTATAGAGCTTTAAAATATATTACTACACCGACTGAATATAAATCCAAGCACAGGTACAAGAATTGAATTTAAATTTACTTTCTGAATATTTCTGTAAGAAATAAAAAAGCTCACTCATTATTTTAATTATGGAGAAAGCAAATTTTATGATTAAAAAAAAGAAAAATATATAACCATAAAATTCACAAGTATTAAAGATAAGTAAAATCTCACTCGAAACACTGAGAAATATTATTCAGATAGCGTGTCTAAGGGATATTAAATGTCACGAACAGATAAATGGGTAAGGCATCTATGTGAACTTATAGCCCTCTTAATTAACAAGCACGTCGTACGTCCGACATGAATCTTTGCTGTAACAACTCCGTCAAAATAATATACATTTTGTTATTTAAGAGTGTTCTAGACGAAGATCGTATCTTTCCTTTATATTTATTATCAGGTCGAGCATTTGTCATTAGACTAATACGTAATTTACAAACATTGTAATAAATGTTTTGCTGATTAAACTCAAAATACCGAAAACATAAAATTCCTTTACAAAATATTTGTTCGATTTAACAACAGATGGAAAATAATTAATCGACCTACATCTTCGGTTAGATTAATTATTCATTCAAATTAATTCCACGAAATATGTAATTTCGGAATTCAATTATATCTAAAATCTTGAACAGGTTACGGAAAAGTAAGTTTTGAAAATAATTCTCTTCGTCGGGGGACGTAAATTAGAATTCATTTAAACGATTCCTCTAAGAAAACTCGATCATTTTAAACTTAAAGGTATTTAATAAATAATTTTAAATTTATAAATGGATAATAATTTATCGGTTATTTTTAAGAAATTTATTTATATCATCATGAAAATCTTATATTAAAATTTTAGCATAATACAATAACTTTATACATACCTACTTCGAATTTAATAATAAACACTAGCTCTTGTTTTAATAAATACTTAATTATTTTTATTAGCAATAAATTTTATATTAAAAAATATGAGATAGTATTACAGTTACTAGTTTTGCTTAAAATTAATATAAACATTCTTCAAATATTCATGATTAATATGCAAATTTAGGAATTATTTGTAAAAACGTCTTCATTATATGTAGCAGAGTTGTGGTGCTTTAAGATCTCTTTAAAAATGAATAATTTTTGCAAAATTTGCATAAAGTAAATTTACATATTAATTTCAGTTTGAATTTTTATTTATTTCTTTTATGTTTAAAAATATGATTGGTTGAATTTGATTTAAAATTTGGATAATTTTTATAATTAGTTTAAGAGGAAAGGTAGATCTATATTTGGGATAAATATTACAATTTAAAAGTTTAACAATGACAACTGCAGAGAATATCATCAGTGGTGCAGAATGAAAATTTCTCAAATATAATCCACGAGGAGACCCCCATTTCTCCCCCATGGCCGAAGCGATTTTCTATCTGATCTCTTCAAACTGTCCACAGCAGCAGAGCGAAGACCACCTCAGTGAAATGTATGCCGTTTCCAAGAGTTCAACCTTTCCTCTTCGTCCGCCGATCAATTTAAAATTCCATTCGGGGTGTACCGCTTCAAAGAATTTGAATTTTGTGTATTCATGCTGGCAAAGCAGAAATTTCATATGCAAATTTTCTTCACCTCGTTCGTCCAATGGGAACTTAGGTGAGCTCCGCCCCTCTTGGATTATGAAAAAGCAACCAATCACTGCAGCCACTAAAATTATTGATCCTTAGTTCCCTCGGAAAAAGGATGCATCTTGTTGCCATGCCTGTCTCTCGTCTGCCTTTAGGCCGATGGGGGATAAAAACAGTGTGACGTAAGATGGCTGAAACGTCTCTCGTTTTCATCCCTTTTTTTCTTCCGAAGTCACGATTTAGAGATCGAAAAAGACCTATGGACATGATACTTTAAGTTAGAGACGCAACTCTGTTTTCTACTTAGTAATTGCAACATTTTACTAGAGGAGAAGGAAAAAAAATTAATCGGGGACAAGAACGTATATAAACTCTTAACTACTAATATATATCAAGACAGGAGACAGACTGGCAGAGAGAGATGTTCAATGAACCACAACATTAACTGGTACGTGACGCGTATTTCGATGAGAAGGGGGATGGATTTTTTAGCCCCAAACACAAGTAAGAATCCGACAGATAATGAGCAATGCGGCAAAACAGGGTGGTGTCTGGATTATAAAAGGTGTCTCTGTTGCAAAAACTCGTTTCCAGTTTGCGAACTTTTGATCTCGAAAATCTGGAAAGAAGCCGAGTTCTGTGCGACACATTGCAATCGAAATTCATAAAGTAAGAACACAACAGTTCGGTCACTCAGTGGCGATAGTTCATCTATTCGAGAACGGGAATTGGTAAAAGGGGATTCACCAGCTGAGAGTAATATCAGTATTCTCCGCCAGATGGCATCCAAGCGATACGCCACATCACGTGATAATCCGGTGAAACGCCGTCTTTCTCCGATCGACTTTCTCCCCCCTAAGAAAAAAAAATGGGCGGCACTAACTATTGATTTTTCTGCCTTTTTTAAAAGAAACGTGTGACCGTAGCCAAAATAGTTTGCCAAGAAATATTTTTGCATTTATTTCATTTCTTCGCCAGTAACTTGATACGCTTAATAGAAATTGTACCTGTTGGCACGTGTCAGAGTGGGGAAGGGTAAAAAAAAAAGGATTAGGGGGAAGGTGATAAAAAAAAACGTTCGTCCCTCCTCTATGTGTTACAAACCACATTTCCATTCATAAAACTCCATCGGCATTTCACACCAATTGAGATGTTTATCAAGCCCATTAAAATAGGGAAACAAATCAGATTCATATTATTTTTAGTTAAATTCGTATACCTAATAAATATTGTTTAAATTGTTTATTTAAAATAGCTTTGACTTATCACTGATAATAATTAAATCTCTGTTGTTTTCAGATTAAAATTACCATTTAAAAACATATTTTAAAAATGTCCTATTCAAAATTACATAAAATTAGTGATTTGAATCTTTAGAATTCTTTAAATAAAAGTCAAAAATGACCATTTGTGAAAACGAAAACGTTTAAAAATGTTTAATTCAACAGTAAAAGAGGGATGTAAAAATTAAGTTAAACCGGATCCACAACTTTGGATGATTTCAATTAATAATGCCCATTACTTCAATGCTTATTACTTGGTGCTAGAAATCGTGTTTCTGTTCGTTTTACGATCTGCGTAATTATCTGACGTGCTTCAAACATCGGAGAAGTGGAATTTATCTTCCGGCAAAGAATTACGACCCAGCTTAACTTCACCAGAAAAAAAAAATCTGTACTAATGAATCTGCATCAGAATTAAATCTCCTTTTTTCTTCTTGGTGTCACTCTTCTCGACGTCGTAAACCTATCCGGATCACGTATGCATGGAATGACAAAATACGTGTATGTTTTTTGAACTTAATATTGCTTTACAATCGAGAGACGTGATATTAAAATAAAATTCCTCCGCAAGCGGCGTAATGATGAAAGACTTCTCAGAATTTGATCATGTCTGACCGATTAATGAATGTATAAAATTACATCTCATACATCTAATACTATTTTTTATTATTATTATATTTGTTTGAATTGTTGGGTAGCTGCGTCTGATTAATTCAAATGGTGTCCTGACCCTAACACTTCGTTCCTGTCGCAGATTTTGGTGGAACAGCACGCGAACGGACATGTCCAGTTAAATAACGCGTGAGTAACTAGAACATTTCCTGCAATTTAAAAGCAATATCTACAAATTCCATTGTTTTATATGTACCGGAACAGTTGATGGAAACGCAGGTGGGATAGACACGCGTTACTTTCATTACAACTGTTTCCTGGATATTTACAATCCTCAACGGCGAATTTCGGGAAGTCATTACAAATATCATATTCATTAGAGCAATTCAAAAATTTTTAAATGAGATCTGAACACCGTTTTAACACATACTTTTTCTGTTGTTTTTATTTCAAGACATATACAAAAATAAAGATGATAGTCTTCATGCAATACATACCCATTGATAGAAGTTTGTGTCATAAACCAACAGAGAAATGCTTTAGCTAGTGAATGGAACACTTGGACAAAGAACCAATCGGATTTCTCGTAACACGTTTCTAAGAAGGCATTGGTGTCCTTGTCACAATCAAAAGCGATGTAGAGATCTCGAAGGTCTGCGGTCACTCGGTCAAGATCACATCGGTACCACTAAGAAAAAAATTCCTCAGTACAATATTTCGACGAAAACATTATATTCTATCCACACTGAAAATGCTTTTTAATAATATATATAATAAATTCGTTTAATAAAAGTATTTTTATAATTAATAATTGAATAAATGTTAAGTATTTGATAAGTTACCGTTTATTGAATTTATGTAATTAAAAAATTTCAAGAATTAGATAATATATGAATAATAAAGAAAATTGCACATCAATAAATCGATGTAAAGTATATATCGGAATAAACACCTGTCAGACCTGAAAACTAATTATATCGTAGCTGTTGGAGATCTAAATTTACAGTCAATCCAAGTTTATTATTGTACTTATTGTTTTCGTCCGAGTCCATATTTCAAATCTATTGTATTTACTGCTGATTATTATTGGGCGCATATGAATGAGAAAACGTGCGAGCGAGTTAATGGACGAAACAGCGCAAACCACCCACACTAGACTAGTCATTAAATTAGAAAATATAAATCAAACTGTACGGTAATGTACCATACAACTAGCGTTTACTTCATTTAATTGCTTCTCGCAAGGCGAAAACTTTCGGTTGCACGCACGAGTACGAGAGTGGAGCCAGTTTGTTTCGACCGTTTAATATAGGCCCAAGCCAACCATGTGAAGTGATTAGTGGGAGTTAGACCAAGGGTTACTTAACCTCGTTTCTTATTATTATTATACGAGATTGGAATGAGAAGGAAGAAAATAAAAAGAAATGAATGTATAAAATGAAAGATAACGAAGGCCTACTGTCTATGAAGTTGAATATATTATAATATAATAGAGCCACTTTCCTAATATTTATGGAGTGGGCACATCAAAATGAATATTAATGACAGTTAAGTTTAAAGGTTATATATTCCGTTTCCGCGGAAACATATTAATCTCCTCCTCTCCTCCCCTCACACTTTATTCTATCGATCAAAGATGGCGGTGATGGACTATTTTCCGGATGCTACCTCACAGTCCAAAAAGGCAAATCATAGAAATATGCAGGTAGAGCATGCCAGGTTGGCTTTAAACTTCGCTTAATCTATGAGGTCTTTGAATGGCCGAGTCAATAAGAGACAGTAAGCGAATCTGAATTTTCAGTATCATAACGTGTGCAAAATAACGAATTGCATCCTGTAAAAATCGACGGTTCGACAAATACAATTATTCCTTATCCTTCCCCTCTTGAGAGGAGAGAAAAGAGAGTCCAGCCGGCGTCGGTCCGCCAGATCAATTTTTCAACGCAGGACCCCCATTTTTCGATCCCCGGACGGTGAAACAACAAACATCTTGTTACTTCACACGCTCTGAATATCAGTAAAGCTCTAGGGACTTACAAATGCTGGCCATACGTAAATTATAGCTGACGTTAGAAGTACTTTATGATATGAGAGATCCTTACAAACTCCACTCCAGTTTAATTTTGTCAAAAAATGACAATATAAAATGTAAACTCGCTGTAAAATATCAAAATTGTATTTCAAAAATACTATATATAAAATTCTCTACTATAATCCAATTTTATAGTCAATTATTATATATCATATTATGTATGCATTGTTTTTTTTAATGCTTAATTTTGATTTCTAATTAATAGGAAGAGATATCTTATTCCAAATAATTTCGAATAGGCCATTTACCCCCAAACATATTTCTGTAATGTGTACAGTCGGAGTCCAGCTAATTCACTAGTTCTATCTGTCATTAATTTATAGCTCTCTATGGCGTTCCGACACGAAGTAAATTTATGACTATTCTTTCGTATAAATAACAGTAAGACACAACTCACCCCATTTTCAATCAACGTCAAGAAGTTTTTAATGAACTGCCGAGTATTATTCTGGCATACGAGTCGGCGGCGTATTAATTGCCATGATAATGGAAGAACAGGTTGCTAACAATTGTTTACTTTTGCTAGCCATTTAAACAAAAAAAACGCAAAATGATATTTAAAATAATCGAATACACTAAACTTTTATAATTATTATAATTAAAATTTCATTTTAATTACAATAAATATAAAGGATGAAAATAAATCAGTAATTATATAAGTTATTTTCAAGCAAAGTCATTAGGTGATAGCATAAACCTATCTTGTGTCAGATATAAGAAATTTTATATTAGCTTTCAAATAATCCTTAATCTTAAAAAAAACAAACTAAATACTTACATAAACTTACATATATCAAAAACTTATCAAAAATATCGTAAAACATACAGTTCATACATCAAACTTTAAAATATTAAACTTAAGTAAAATAGCTTCATAAGCATATGGACTATGTAAGCAAATAAATAGGTTATTATTTATACCAAAACTAATTCTCTCAATTATAATTTTCATAAAAAAATTTGACAACAAATTTCATTACATATAATGCTGGCAAGAACCTATCTATTATACTCATTTCAGCCAAAATGCTCCTATATTTAAAAATATATACATTAATATAATTATTATATGAGAGATTTATTTTTTTTTAAATCATTTAAAACCATCTTTATATAAAATTCTTTAAGTCAGATAGTTAAATACTATTTTTTGAATGAAAATAATCTACTAAAAAATGATATTGCTTTAAAANATATTCATCTTTCAATTAGGAGAAAACAAATATCAAATCTTCAAATTTTCCTTTCATTCAAAACTACAATAGTTTTATTTAAAGAAATAAAGTTAAAGTATTGATTGTATATGCTGTCAAATAACTAAGCAATCATCCTGCTGAAAGTCTAGATTTCAAAAGGGAAATCAATAAAATGTAAATAATTTGAAACAAAGATGCTTTACTAAATCAAAGATTACATTTCATTTTATAACAAATCTTAAAACAGATTATTTTGATAAAGAAAATTACTGTTTAAAATTAAATATCATGTTTTATTTAATTAGAATAATCTTTTAATCATAATTAATACCAACATGATAATATATAAAGCATTTTTCTTTTATTACTCTTCTATTTCATCAAAATACTATAATATTTATTTCATTCCTATCTTGAATCACTTTAAATATCAAATTTTTGGAATAAAAAAAACTTATAAACATTCTCATTTACATTCTGTTTGAATTTTTAATTCCAAAGCAAAATTAATTAATATTTCAATCATTCTTTGAAATTAAAAATATTAAGGTAAAATATTATGTTGTTGAATTTAATTTTACAGATAATTTGTTATAAAATGTTTTGAACAATTTGCATATTAAACTGAAATATTATTTAAATTTCTTATATCTATAATGAAAGTTTATAGGACTGCTTTTATGTACAGTACAGTACAGCACATTCATTAGGATCACCACTTATCTACATATGATGCATTTTCAGATAAATATACTTAGTATATACATTAAATCTGAAATTTGATAACTTTTTTAATTAAAGAGATTGAATAAAAATAAATTAATAACAAATTTTAAATAAATTTTTTGCATTAATTAGTTAATTATTATGGAAATTAATTATATAATTAATATATTAAATTTACACTACTTGAAATTTTTAATTATGCTTTAAGGATTAAATAAAATGAGCTCTATTATTATAATTAAAAAAGCTATTTATATTATAAATTTGCATTGATAAATTCAATATTTAAATATTTAATAAGAAAAACATCTTAAAATATCATATTAAGAAAATTCATTAACTTTTGCAATCACAGAACAATTTAGATGTATTGAATTCATGAATTTTAAATAGTCTAATACTACATATGCTTTCTTATTGTTCAATGTCTAATGGCAAGATCAAGTTTCCAATCATATGAAAGAGTAGAATGACTATTGTTAATAAGCTAAGTCAGCTTGGTGATGCATGTTCCTTATATTGGTCATCTATTTACAAACTTGATTAGGAGATTGGTGAGTATCAAGACTGCCCTACTTATTATTGCAAGCAATAAATATCATATGACAGCTACAGCTTCAGTCATCTTTGGTATGTGCCACCTTGTAAAGCAATCTGCTATTGTTCGTTCAGAAGATATAATATCTAATATCTAACAAGTATTGGTCATCTCTTAAAGGTAATAAAAATGAATGGCTAAGAAAAATGTAATATGTGGATTCAAGAAAATCTGGCAAATTAAGTATTTTGAATAAAATTTGTTTTGGTGAGCAACATGACTATAACAATATATTGTTGAAAGAAACACTTAAATATTAAAATGATCCAATTTTACAAAATAATTATGATTACGAATATGATTAATAAATACATTATACAAGTAAATTTATAAAATTTTATTATATATTATATAATAATGATTTTAATATATTTTACAATGATTTTAAATAATTTTACAATTAATAAATTCAAATTTATTTACCGGTATTTATTTTTTACAAATAAAATTATAGAAGAATGTCCAGGTTAAAACTAAAACATTCATTTGATAAAATGTATGTTATTAATTTAAAATTTTAATAAAATCTTTAAAAACCTAATTCAAATTATTTTTATTTATTATATAAATATAAATGCTTACCTGTGAACGATCAAAATTTCTTAAATGTTGTTNATAATTTCTTATCAGTATGTAGTATTAAAAATATACTATAACATATTTCATTTTTCATATTATTTGAGATTGATCAATTACTATAAATTCACATTTATATGATTATCGAGTCAATAATTATACAGTTAATTTGCACCAAATTATTTTTGTATAATCTGATAATTTCAAAAGTTACACACAATTTTCTGGAGAATTATCTGATTATAAATATATCAGTGTTAAAAACAGTAGACATTAACAATTTTATATTTCATAAAAAATTATAGCATTCTCAATAAAACTGTTATTACTTAATCTATGTTAAAACACACCAAAAATAAGTATTGTATGATGCATGACTTTATATCCGCCTGATAAATTGAATAATAAGATAATTCAATTTAAATGTAAATATTTGAACCATTCGTACATAAATAAATTGGTTCCTTTTGTCAATATGTTATATAAAAAAAAAAAAATATTTTTTTAAACAAATTTCAGCGTTTTTCTTCCTATTAAATTCAGTACTTAGTTAAATTTTCTTTACAAATATTTTAATCATTTCTGTTATAAAACATCGTAAGACACGTGACAATTTAATAAATTACCGCGAATTAAACACACTCCACGTGACTGCAATTTGAATATTCATTGACTATAATTGGAAGAACAAACATGTGATTTTTATGTATTGAAGCAATAAGAGTTTCCCAAATATTAAGCTATGAGAAATTGCATGGTATAAATGGCATTTTATCTAATTTTAAATGCTTGATTGAATAGCATCGTAACAACAGATCAACTTAAGCCTAACATCTAACAGACATATTGACGCTACGTGCGTTTCAAACCGATAAATATGGAATTATATTACAAAAATACGGAATACAAACTAGTAATTTCTCGACATTTTCTAATTACGAAAGATATTACAATCGTGTACGGTTTTATTAAATCCAATTTCGCTAGTTATTTACCTTTGCTGAATCTTTCTGGCGACCTCCGCGCTTCCTGGTGGTAGGAAATAGAACTACGGTGACCGCTACGATTGAAAACGTAATTTGCAAAAACACGCTTTCTTAGCCATTTACGCTCGTTAATTTTGCGGCGATTACGCATTGTGTTTTGCGTTTACTGCGATGATATTTTTGCGCGCGAAAATTTTAATGTTTGAAAAGTTTTATTTACTTTCGATGGTGTTTATTATTGACTTTTCGGTGTTGTTGATGCGCGCTCATTTCGATGCGAATTGATGAACGAGAGCGAATTTAAAGAAAAGATTTAAACAGTACATGTTTAAAATTCTTCCTTTGTCCGTCGGAGGTTGGACGCCGGTGGAAAAAAATCCTCGTCTCCCATGTGAGGCGTCAATCGATATCGATTTTTTTTTATGCGCAGGATGTAAATTTTCCTTAGATGGGTCAGAGCGGACGTTGGCGTTTTATAACGTTGAAAGACTGACCGTCCATCCCTGGTCTGCAACGACTCGCGTATTTTTTTACTGTAAACACCACATCATCGTTACAACAACTATCAATACTGTCCCGTAGTATAAAACAGGTAAGTCGCAACCCATGTATTCACACTATGCAGTAGAGAGACTTTTAAATTTGTGCCGTCTGCTGAGGTGGCTTTCCCTGCGACAGCCATCGTGCTCTAAAAACATCAACGTCCTGGCAGTCGGGGACGTGCTGGTTGGTAGAGAGACTAGAGAAAAGTTAAAAATTAAGTAGAGGGTTGTGGAGTGGGTTGAACCCGTGCGTCACCGAGCTGATTGCACTAGCCTCACCCCTTCCATACTCTCCTTCCTAATGGAAGCACATGACATCGACTATTCCATATTTTATGACAATATGGCGGGTTGGAGCGATGGGATTGGACGACAAAACGGAGTAGCACAAAAAATGTTCATGCGCAATTTGTTGGCTGGATGGGTTAATTTCACTTGCATGCTAGGGGTAACAAGAATACAGCAGCCGTGCGCTGATGACTCACATTGGCTGAATGGCGGTCGAACCCGCCTACTGATGCAACTTAACCGGTTGGAGCTTAGCCAGCCTCAGTAGCAGATATGCAAATCATCCGTCCTATCCCAACCCTTTCCCTCTGTGCTGCAACATCTCCCTCCTCCCGAAAGCTTCCTTCCGTATTTAAATCTGATGCTAGGGGTGTGCCCGTTTTGCCAGCCACTCTCGTGCATCTAAAATGACAAGGTATTGAAATAGGCAAAAGTTGACTATTTATTTCACCCTTTCTGATATTCGAATGTATCTATTTTCTTTAAATAAGAACAATATCGGATAATTGATATATTAGGAGATGTTTGGAAAAGAAAACAGACAAATAACTGAAAATTTTAAAATTTTTAAATTCATTTAAATTATTAAAATTTACAAAAGTTAAATCTTAACGTATTCTGTATCAGCACTGTACTTCTATAGTATATAAATATATAAAGTTGTCTTTAAAAAATCTTTTCGGTGTGTTTAAATGGCTGTTACTTTTCTAAACTGGATTGTATCTATATTTTATCAAGTGTAAATTCATAAAGAGATAAACAGAATAATATATAAAAATATTATATATCACTATCCAGTCATGCAGCCGTAAATTTTTGGCTTAAGAATAAATAGCATATATTTAGATTCATAAATATGTAAACTATTTTAGCAACTAAAATAAATTTTTTACAAAGTTAGATCTGAAGTTTATAGAACAAAAAAAACTTTCCTGTCATAAACTTCTTAGGAATTATATAAATAAATAAATTTTTAATTTACTGGCGACATTCCAAATCTCTTAATATCTAAAGAAATTGGAATAATAACATTAATCAAGTTGTCATGTAAATTCATTTCATAATCTCATCAGGTATTTTATACGTTGATGAAAAGATTAAGAAACGTGGGGTGAACGGGTCAAAGGAGCTTTTCTGCTCTTCAAATCTGAATTAGACTTGTTTCTGCGAGATTGATATATAGCTACATATAATGAAATATTTTTATATAAATTTAGAATATAACATCGTCCCAATTGCCTATTTTTTATAAGGCCAATCCTACATTTAAATGTTTTATATAAATCATTATTTAAATAACCTCATGCTCTAAATTTAAGATTAGCTCGTAAATTTAATTTGTTGTAAACATATTTAAGTTATTTACTTTTTCAAAACAAAATAATATATAAATGTGTAAATAATAAAATTTAAAATTAACAATTGGAAGCTGCTGGAGGATTAAACTTTAACAAGACAAAGAAAACAGATCGTTAAAGTTTATTGTCGCATTAAAAAAAAAACTTATTTTTTCTATGATATATACAATATTTACAATTATTTTATTTACGTTGATAATGAATATTATTTTGTAAATCATAGTTTAAATTCTATAGGATAAATGTGGCCACATTCAACAAGGAAACAGGTTCAGAACAGTGGGTGGTCAGTCTGAACCGGGGTGAATAGCTTACACACTTAATATTCTTGACAAAAAAACATTAAATATTTATATCATTATCTAAAAATATAGTTAGAGTTTTTATATTTTTTAATAACTTATTTAATATATTACTGCTTTCTTTATAATTGCAAATGAACTCGTTAAAGATAACTCTAAATGATTGTAAATATTTAAAAATAGTTAATTCTGTTTTAAAGTAATTTTACTTAAATATTGAAAAAAACCAATAAACATCATTTTATGGCAATCATTAAATATTCAAGTTTATTATGCGAAAAGCATTGACTGTTTGCTAATGTGCGAAACTTCACAGATGGAGATTGTTTGTCTTGCATATTAATATTTAGAATAAAATGTACTATTCGCTTTATTTAATATACTCTTCTCATAAAAAGTTATTATTATTTTCTATAAATATTGCAGATTTTATCAGGAGAACATTTCGAGATATTCTCTAGTACAATATACTTTATGCGCTAAGTGTATATTTTACGTTCAAAATCATTAATTTATTCATGAATTGAGAAAATATACGAACAAATTATTTTCAATCATATTATATTAATGTCTAACATTATATTTAGACATTTTTTTAGGATAAAATTTTTCTCTAGGCCTGATAAATAAAGTATGAATAATTTTAACCTAATAATTATTTTTAAAAGAATATATATATAATTCGTAACATTAAAATTAGGCCTATATTTAGTAATTCATAAATATATATTTCAGATTTTCATCATTTTTAGATAAAATAAATTATAATTTTATCCTGTAGACTTAATATTCATTTCTTAAATATGGAAATATGCATAAAATTATGACATCTTTAGTATTATAAATAATCCTGAATAAAATATATTCATTTTATTTATTTTTAGGTCTATTTTTCTTATTTAAACAGCGATTTTACTCTATTCGTTATGTAAAATCTAAACTCCAATTTAACTGATGGAGCGTTGTATTTTATTGAAAGGCCTAGACGGTTTAATTCATACTTTATTCTCTAATTTTAACTAATATTTAGAAATAACTGAAAATGAAAACAAAATAGAAATTTTTTAAAACCAGAATTTTAGAGATTGATTTTTTTTTCATTTTTTTCAAATTTCGTTTTTAAAGAAAGGAAAAAGAAAGAAAAACAGAACGATTTTGGTTTCGCAATAAACAGTTGTATTAAATTTAAAGAACTCTAAACTAAGATTAAAACTCTCCAATTCTTTATTTATTGTTTAAATATTCACATAAATTTACATAATATACATGTTTTTAATTAATATGAAAATTATGCAATAATTTTTAATAATAATAAAAGAAATCTATATAAAAATTAATCGGATATTGGAGAACTTTGCTGGCTTAAAAAAAAAGGAAAAAAGAAAAAGATTTGTGGAATATTGTCATCCGCTATGAAAGCCATTCACCCTCGGTTCGTATTTCATAAAATAAACTCGGCCTTTCGAATTAATAAACTTCTGAACTATCTATAAATCTCTAAATTTTAAATATTCGCTCTTCTAAAATTAAATTATAAATTTAATACATAATTTATATTTGATTATTTGAAATAAATGGTTAGAATAAAATAATTTAGTAAATAAATTACGCTATAATTGCGAATATTTTAACATTTAAACGTTGCTAAAGCGATGATGTAGAATTTATTTGTTTTACGAGTACTGTGCCAAAAATGTATTCATTCCAAACAGGACTGTGGGTAGTAAAGAGAGTTCTGTAAACCTCGGGAAAATAGGGGTGGAAATACGTGACGTGGAATGGTCATTTTTGTTAATATCCAGTCGTAGCAATTTCATTCAACTGACAGTGTGCAAGGCTCCTGTTTGGAGTAAATGTATGACATGTTGCCGGTAGCAATGAGCCGTGACCAGAGTTGATGGAAACACACGATCATTATTTCAGGGATCGAACTTTTTGGTAGATGATTCCCCTCTTATGTTAGATAACAAGACATTACAGGTTTTCTCATAAGCTATTCCAACGTTACGTTTATTTAGTAGAAGTTGTCTATAGTAAACCTTTGGTTGATATACCCAGATCAAAAACATCTATTATGGATATTTTTCATACCAAAACTGAATTACTATTGTATGCTTTGAAATTATTCATTCCAAATTCGTACTTTGTTTAAACTAACGATGTGAAAATGTAAGGTGCAGTCCTTTTGGAAAATATAAATAAATGCGTTGTATTAGTAGGCGACCTAAATGTAAGATAAAAAAATATATATTTGTGCATTTATCTTGTATACACATAATACTTGCAATTGCAAATTATTTAAGAATAATGTAAACGATAAGTCGAGAGCAATATTTCAAACGTTAAATCAAAAGGAAAAAGTAAACCGTTCTTGTTTCTTAATAAGAAAACGGTTATAAGAGAAATATATATTATATAACGTAGTGGATATGAAAGATTATAAATATATTAAATCCAAAATTCACTATTTTCATACAAATTTCGGTTGAAAAGGAATTTTTCGTATTAAATTCTTTCATGGCGTCGATAGAAGCAACATTTCTTGCAAACGTAAGTCCACATTCTTTCCTAGCTCTGCAGAAACATCAGACAAGACTATTGAAAATTTTGCCTCCAGTTCACGTCACCGAGAAGAGAGCAGCTGAAAACAATGCATGAGGAGAGAGGGTCGCTTATAGATTCACGACATCCAGAGTAGAGTGAGGTCCTGCAGCGTCGGCGGATATCTGTGAAAGCTACCATCCTGGCTATGGACAGGATTGACACGACTCATTACGTTA